GTGATTGTTTGTGGTTCCTTCCAAAAGTCTGCCTAGCCTACTTCTTAGTGTGCCTTCGGTTACGCTTCGCTCTGAGGAAATGTTCAACAGGAAGATTTTTTGGAAGAGACCGACTACCTGTCATAACGCTTCCCGTGACCTCGACAGGTCAAAGCCATTTCCCCTCTTAGTCAGCTTCTAAGGCGTCATCACTTTCTTTTCACAATAATGGAAGTTAAGTCGATTTGGTATTGACACAAGGATCCGTTTTTCTCCGAAATTTGCAAGTCATATTTACCTGCTGATACATAGCCCTCGGTAATGTGGCGTAAAGGCGAACTTCTAATCTTTTCATGTCAACTTATCATTCTGCGGTGGTGGCGCGACCTCACAAATCGCCCTATTAAACAAGCCGGAGGTTCAGTTTGTCACGGGAATCTTATTATAGCTCTTAGATTCTCCCATCTAGATGAGAATAAGTCCTACAGCAATCCAGTTTTCCCACACACTGCATAACCTGAACAGATTGACGGACTGCCTACCCAGAATGACATTCGCTCCAGTTAAGAAAGCATTGGAACAGCCAGTAGCTACAAACTGAGCGTAAATAACTTGTTGCTTATTATTATACTGGGCCCTTTCCTGTTTCGCCACCCTGTTCTATGTCCTATAGTTTGTCCCTAGTCGTCAACTGTGTATGGATGATCCGTTTGGTGGCTGAGGTATCGTGGTTGCCAACTACTACTTATTTTCCCTCCGAGTCCATGTACGTCCAACTGCATAGGTCAAATTCTTGAGGGTGCCGCTCATTATTTTGCGCCAAGAAGCGTGTGTCGGCCTTCTTAGGCCAAACAGCAATTCTCAGGGAGTGGGAACAGCCATTTCTCAGTCTTAATAATTAACTACTTGAATTTAATAATATCTGCTCGTGCGTGCTATTTGACCAGATCCCGTACCTGGCAAGGATCCATCCTTAGAGTCTAGTCTTTTCTTTAGTTCTACATGCATTTCTGAAGGAAGCAAGCTTTAGAGACAAATCTTTATTTTTTTACACACCCATACTGCAAGGTTTTCGCGCCATTTTTGTGATGCTTCCATCACCAATCATATTGTAATATGGGTGTAAATATCAGTCTGGTCGAAGATGTGCACGTTAGCAACAAGTGGCATTAACGGTCTATTCGATTTTATGGCCAAAGGGTACAGTGCAACCCCGCCTGCACCATTTCCAACTGGGATAAAAAAGCACAACTAGGCCAAAGCGATGACTCGCGCGTGGGTAGTACGAATGTTGCAAAAGTGTGGTTTTCTTATAACCCGTGCATCATAATTATGCAAAATGCAAACTAGCACACACTAGGTAGATTCTAGAACTAGATGTGTTTCTGATTGGTAAATGCGATCTTGGGCTAGCTTTCAGGCCAGAAAGTAATCGCTTAGGTGGCGTCGCACTGTCTGGGACGTGTTCTCAAATGTCTCTCGTGTCCCACAACTGAATTCATACTTTGAACTTGCTTTCAGGTGTTGGGGTTTTATGGGACACCCACCAACAGCCATATTTTTTTATTTGTTTTAGGTATTAGCAATGGTTTCCATTTTTTATAAACTAATTATTAGTAGGATTAATTGTTTGAGCTCAGATAAATTCGACATCACTGTAATTTCCTATTTAGCCAATGCGCAGAATCAGTTCTTTTTGGGTAGACGAATCACAAAAATAAACATATGATAAGTTTTGTCTACTACTCCCAAGTTCACTGGCATTAGCCGGAAGTAGTTAAAAACAACTTGATTGTGTGAAAACGTCTATATATAAGCGAGAGATGGTCTTTATAGAGGAGGTAGAAGAAGTGCTTTGGACTTCCAAGCGGTATGTGTAGGGTTAAAATGCTCTCGTGATCTGTCTTACTGCGTCTGAATTAATGGTCACAAAATGCGAAAAGTCTTAGGAAAATTGAAAATGACTGTCCTTGTGGAAAGTTACTCACACTCTTTTATTTGTAGATAGTTATTTTAAGCCTTGCAGATCAAGCTAATATGAACTTGGTAAGCATGATATTGATAATGCGGTATAGAGTAGTGCTTAAGAAAGCTGGTTGGTACCAGAATTCTAGCAGTATCATGATTCTAATCAAACTTGTGTTTGGGTTGGAGGTTGATTTCTTGTACCGGATCACGAGGTCCTGTAACTCAAACATTAACTGGCACACTCTATTTGAAGTATTTTTCACAATATCTAAGACAAATTTGGCAATTTGAAAGACCTGGACGCCTTTTCAGGAAAATAAGAAAATGGTCAGTTTCCTTACTTGGCTTGCTGTACCTGACAAATTTCCAGTTCTAAGTCACTATAGGCGCCTCCTAAATTTTTTGCAAGTCCAATCACATCTCGATTCTACGACTGGAGTATGCGTCCCTTCAGAAGTCTTCCATAAAAGGAGTGTTTCACTTACGTTTTGACAGTTGTTTACCACATTAACGGAGTAGGGAGCTTTATATCTTTATCGACGCCGGACCACTTATTTATTCCCTTTTGAATACTTAAACTACTCAAACTGGTTGCAACGGTAACCCCGCAAATCAGTTGGTGTTATTGAGATTACATTGTCTCAAAAGTAAAATCACGTGGATTAAGCAGGAGATTACCCACAGTGTGCTGCCTAAACATGTTCATCTGAAGATAGATAGTAAATATTTTTGGTCCTTTTAAACCTTTATCAACTCATACATCATCGCAAATCCTCTCTGACCACGGGGTTGCATACCAAATGTGCCCACATGTGCACAATCCGATGACAGGCCATATCTGACAGATGAATATGCTATCATGTCTACCTCGTCATGCTTCCTTTTCACTATCGTCTGACCTGCAGTTCATAGTCATCACAGCGGGTTCACTCAAAGCCCTCAACGATCCCTAGTCGGGATCGTTGAGCCAAAACCCTTCTTCTGTGTAGCTGCAATTAATCAACGATTTGGCGAGTGATAATTACTCCCCACTGCTATCGTCTGAAACAGATTTAGTGGTTGCCAAAAGTAACTTTCTTAGTTAAAACAACTGCAAAGAATCCGACAATGATGCTTTGATGAGTTTTGGCAAGTCGATAAATACGGAACACTCAAGTTGTTAAACTGCATTATTCATCCTCGGCTAACGACCTGCATAAAGGGATTTTCTAGCTAGTTAATCAAACAGCTTCTTGGAAAATTCAAAATGCACTAAAGGTCCGAGATCTATGTGCTTAATCATGGTTCGTTAAGCATTTCAAAAGTAAAGTGAACCCACTAGTATACCGTAGTAACCGTAACGAGCTTGATTGTCTTCATTGAAGACGATGAGCTATAATGCAAACTGTAATTTTATATTATCGATATACTTTAAAGTCGAAAGTAGAAGATTAAATTAATAAATATTTAAGTTGCCTTGAGAGACCTCTGAAACACAAGCATTTTTATGAGAAAATACACCCTGATGGCAATTTCCTGTCGGGTTTGTCTGAAATGTGAACAGTTTTTTTTAAGTGGTTTTAAAAAGTTCTTGAATCTCGCTTTTTAGAATCCTAATGTTTGCAGATCAGATAATTAGGAATGCTGGTAAGTGGCAAGCTTCAAATAGATGGCAAATCTGATTGGTCAGCACTTTTGTATGCAGTTGGTCAGGGGTTGGTGCAATGTGGTTTATTTCTGAATGTCCGACGGCGCAAGTGTGAATCACTTATTCGCCGTGTCATCGCCCTGTATCACCACAGCTAACTGCACGCCAAGGAATTTTCAAAGGACAAATTAAGTCATGTACTTCTGAGGCCGACGTCTAACTGTGATGCTAAGTGTCTAGGTACCGTTACCAATCACAAACATGTTATGGTTCCTTTTTCCATTGATAGCCCTTTTCCAACTAGTTTTCACGCGAAATGATGCTTCGCACAGCGAAGTCGCCAGAATTATTAACCAGCAGGTTGATAACAGTCAGAGTTTGGATATTATAAATTTCCGACCCCAGCGGCCAACAGACAAATTAACCACTTATGTGGGGGTCGCGGACGTTGGTGGCAGCGCAGTGCATGAATTAGAGGAAATGCGACCTCCTAGACGACTGTCCCCTGGGCTTCAATGGAATGAAGAAGGACAGTACTGGGGTTACCAGCAGTCATCCCCTGCAAATCCCAACTTGGACGAAGGTGTCTGCGTTCCACCCTACTGCATTCCGGCAGTGTGTTCGGATACAGGCGCTGGAGATCTGTGCCCGCAGAAATGCGTAACTCAAAATTGCGATATCGGCTGCTTCCCGTCTTGTATTGCAGGATCTCAGTGCATAAGAAACATTTGCTATTGCGACGCTTTTCGAAGAGCCACGGAATGCAATCTGATAAGTTCATTGGATTGTCAAAATTTCTTTAGTTTGACATGTTCAGTTGGATGTTTTAAACCGTCAACACTAACTCCTCCTTCTGGGTGTGATTGTGCTATCCCATTCCACGTTCTCTTGCAACCAATGTGCGCCACGGAATCTCAGCTCCGATGTCCTAATAATTGTTCCGGCAACGGGTTTTGCGATCAAAAAACTGGCCAATGTATTTGCAACTTGGGCTCTACCGGTCCTAGCTGTTCCTCGAAGGATTATTGTGTTATCACTTCTGGACAACCCCCATGTGAATACGGATGCGTTTCCTTGAATGAAACCCGACTATGTACGTGCCCTTCACCGTTAGTCCTCCAACCCGACGGGGTCAGTTGTGACAACCCGTGTCCTCCTGGTCTTACTGGACCACAGTGCTCCTATGACATTGATGAATGCCTTACAGGGATCCATGGATGCCAGTATTATTGCGTCAATACATTTGGTTCCTATGAATGCAGGTGCCCTCCAGGGATGACGCTAAACCTTCAGGACAACAGGACATGCTTAGGTCAAACCTGCGATCCCCCATGTATACCCGATCAAGGCGAGTGTGTTTTGGGAGGTGTTTGTGAATGTCGATCCGGGTTTCAAGGCCCTAGTTGTGAATTTGATGTCGACGAGTGTATTACTGGGATCAGTGGATGCGATCATGATTGTATCAATACATTCGGCTCATTCCGATGTCTTTGCCGACCTGGCTTTGAGCTCGACCATCGAGATAACAAAACATGCTTTGCAAAAGGCTGCAATCCGAGTTGTGTATCTGGTCAAGGTGAATGCATTGATGGACGATGCAAATGTTATGAAGGTTTTCAAGGAAACGCCTGTGAAAATGACCTCGATGAGTGCGCCTATGGGCAACATAATTGTCAGGACCGATGTGTAAACACCCATGGCTCATTTCGTTGTGAATGTCGACGAGGATATGAAGTGGATCCTCGTGACAACAGATCTTGTATTCCTCGGCAATGTGACCCTCAGTGCATTCCAGGCCAGGGAATTTGTGTCGAAGGCCATTGTCAATGTATCAAAGGTTTTCGAGGTCTTGCTTGTGAAGAAGACGTAGATGAATGCAGAGACGGAACTCACAACTGTGAGCACAAGTGCCTTAACACACATGGATCTTTCGAGTGCGCATGCCTCGAGGGTTATCGACCTTCTCAGTTGGACTCAAGTCGTTGTGATCGGGTAAAATGTGAACCCGATTGCGTCTCAGGCCAAGGAGATTGTCAAAGTGGAATTTGTGTGTGTAGACCCGGTTTTACTGGACACCTTTGTGATCAGGATGTTGATGAATGCCGAGAAGAACTACACAACTGTGAGCACGAATGCGTGAATCTACATGGATCCTATAAGTGTAAGTGTCGTGAGGGCTATCGAATATCTTCTAGCGATCCTAGACGATGTGAACCCATCACCTGTGAACCCAGTTGCATTAAAGGACAAGGCTTCTGTCATAAAGGCGTTTGCGAATGTCGAACGGGCTACACGGGTAAGGCCTGTGAGCGAGATATTGATGAATGCAGCGAGGGGAAGCATGATTGCCAGCATAGGTGCATTAACAGGGTGGGTTCATTTGAGTGCGTTTGCAACAAAGGCTACCGTCCAGTCCCCACGGACTCGAGCCGTTGTGAGCCTCTGCCCTGTGAACCAGAATGTGTGCCAGGACAGGGTGCTTGTAGACAAGGTAAGTGCGAATGTAGAAAAGGATTTGCAGGAGAGGCATGTGAAAGAGATGTGGACGAATGCATTGAGAGTCGACACGGCTGTGAACAAATCTGTGTCAACAATCACGGCTCGTATGAATGCGCTTGCTATGAAGGCTACCAGCAGTCCTCTCAAGACCCAAAACGTTGTGAACCTGTTCGTTGCCAAGCCGACTGCGTTCCTGGCCAAGGAGTGTGCTGGAAAGGTGCCTGTCACTGCAATCCCGGTTTTGCTGGAGAGTCCTGTAAGGAAGATATCGACGAATGCAAGCTCAAACTAGACAAATGTGAGCACACGTGTGTGAACACTTGGGGTTCCTACAAGTGCGAATGCGATTTTGGCTACGAGGTATCTTTGGAAAATCCCCATAAATGCATTCCTAGTAAATGCACTTCAAACTGCGTTCCAGGGAAAGGCGACTGCGATGAATATGGCCGCTGTATTTGCCGACCAGGTTATGAAGGCCCCTATTGCCAACACGAGGCTGACGTCTGCTCCACTGGGCATCACGAATGTGAGCACATATGTGTTAGCCTACCAGGGGGACGCCACATATGTCGATGTTATCCTGGTTACAGTCCAGACCCACAGCAGCCTCATCGCTGTGTCGCGGTAGGTTGTGATCCGCCATGTAAGGCTGGCCAAGGCGTCTGCATTCCACACATAAACGAATGCAGATGTTTCGCCGGATATGGAGGCGATCGATGTGAGTTAAATGTCGACCGATCCGAGGAGAAACAAGAATGCGGATGCTCACACATCTGCGTAGGCACACCAGATTCCTTTCATTGTGAGTGTCCTCCTGGCATGCACCTTGCGTCCAACAGCACGACCTCATGTGTTAAAGACACGCGGTGTAATCCACCATGTTGGCCCGGTCGGGGTGTCTGCGTGGACACAAACTGCTGCAAATGTTACGAAGGGTTCGCTGGGAGGTACTGTGAGATTGTCTACAATGCATGCAAAGCATTTCGACCCTGCCAACAACAGTGTGTAAACCAAGGTGACGGAAAATATGAATGCCACTGTTGGCCGGGATTCGTTCCAGCCCTACCAAACAATGCAACTACATGTAAACATGCATGTAGACCAGGAGTGGACTGCTTCAACGGCCATTGTGTTGAGGGTCGGTGCGTCTGCAAACAGGGGTTTACCGGCAAAAAATGTGATGAGGACATCGACGAGTGTCAGGGAGAGGGAAGTATCCATGCTAGATGTGAACACAGATGTGTTAACACCCCGGGATCTTATGAATGCCAGTGTAATTTGGGCTATACGCTTCAACCTGATGGATTCTCATGTCAGAAGAATGAGGCTCAGAATGATTGTCCTAGTGAGTGTTTAAATAATGGTGTCTGTGGTTCTGGGTGTAAATGCCCAGATGGATTTCGTGGACCACTTTGTGAGGAAGTTATCGACGTCTGTAAAGAAGAAGCCCCATGTGAACAATTGTGTTATAATAAACCGGTAAGCTCATAATTCCTCTTAAGTTAAAGTCTGTAGTGTACCCACGCAAGTGTGATAATGTCTATGGGCTTAAAAGGACTTCTCAAGCCTGGGGTGCATTCTAGAGCAAGTTAAATTAATGCAGAATTATATCCCATAAAATTTATTTTTGTCAAAAAAACTATTACAACTTATCAGTATTGAAACTATTGACAATGTGGCATTTACATGTAATGGATGGCGTTGTTTCATTGTGGTCATAGGGGATCTTGTATCATAAGCATGCCAAATATTAATTAAATATAACCAAGTACAAACCATTTGGTGAACTCAAGTTAATGGGATTCATGTTGGATGGTTCTGTCTCAATGCAGCCGATCGCTGTCATTAAAGAAATTTGCAGTTGCCGCTTCAACGCAAGGATGATCCTTTTTCGATCAAAGTTTTCCATTTACTTTAAATAAGGGAAATTTCCATATTGTTTATTCTAGCTTAAACACTTCGAGGCTAACTGCAATTCATACATATTTCCCCTGCTACACAGCAGTGCACTTATTTGCCAAGCCCACCGTTAAGGTCAATTTTCGACACGTCATCTGGGTGAACCAAAGTATTTATTGACTTGTGTTATCTATTGAACAATGTGTTTCGCTTGACATTTCAGAGGAGTGACTTGCGCGTTATAACTAATAATCTCACATTTGCAACGTTAAAATGGTGGTCACCCACTTCCCGTATATGCCCATTTTGCTGGTGGCTGCGTTGTTGGATCATTTGGCTTGGATTTAAAGTAATGAATCTTACCGTGAACCATTGCTCACTATCTGAACAAATTAGGGATTCAGTTTTGCTTCAATGCTTTGTTTTTTTAATTCGCGAAACTCCTAAATGGGATTTTGCTTGGACACCGACTAATAGCATTTTCCACAAACATATTATTTCGGCTTCGATGTGACTAGGCTACCGTATTTGTCCATTTGGCAAACCAAACCACACAAAGTGGAATCCGAAGCCTTTGCCAGACATATGAAAGCTGTGCTGCCAATTTGAGGGGCGTTAGTGTATTGCAGCTGTCAAACTACCTGAATATCTGTTGATTCTCAAAAAGGCAAATAAAAATCATTATGAAATATTACATTAGGCAGAATTTTTTAACTGTTTTATGTACTGTTGCCTAAAAATATATTTCGAATTAGGCTTCCAACAGGATTTTTAATTAAAGTAAGACAAAATTTCCAAGGTCAAATGCTTTTGGTGTATGACCTATACACATTGTCTTTCTATCTGTGTACCTTAAAACATTCTAATCACATGTTAATCCGTGTTTACATGAGGACAAAAAGAGCAGAGGTTCCTTAAAATTTTACCAAGCACTTCTGAAGTACCGCACGAAAAAGTGTCTCACTTTAGAACGGAGGCTACTTATGTGCTTGCCGGGAGGGGTATGAGCTCAATCTGGATGGTTTCAGTTGCGACCCTTCAGAAGTCTGTGATCCCCCATGTTCTGGAAGTTCAAAGTGCATTCATGGACGATGCATTTGTCCCGTCGGGTTACAAGGACCCCAGTGTAACTTGGACGTTGATGAGTGCTCGATGCCTGCCCACGTGCATGGGTGCCTTCACGGATGTTGGAACACATTCGGTTCCTACGAGTGTATCTGCCCTCCCGGATACACACGGCTGCCGGACAAAAGAACATGTTTAGTAAGTTCGCCTATTTTGGTGGGATTCAACACATTTTTGGAACTGTTCTGAGTAGGATTGAAAATGAAAGAGTTTTTGAAACTATGCGGGGCAGAAATTCTAATGCTTAAGTATTTTTTATATGAGAGAGGGAGAAGACTGTAAACTTGTTTGCATATTTCCTAAAATTACCTAATTTTAAATTGATGTAATTTCGGGCGATTTAAGTTTAAATGGTTTAATACGGTAAGTAAACGGCAAATTTTGAAAACGGTCAACATGTTTTACACCCGGTCCGTTGCTTTTTTAGAGGGGATTTCTATAGAGTTGATGTTTGTAAAGTTTTACATCAGAGGCTAACTCAATTGACGTATCGCTCAATTTAGCGAAACTTTATCCAGAGAACAAAGTTAAATAAAACCAGAGAAGGCCTCATTATGCGTTAAAAAATTGTATTACTAGTCATTTGTTAAAAGGGTATAATTGGTTGCATAAAACGGATGATATTACACCAGACTCCATTGTTTTTTCCCATAGTTCATTATTTGAGACACAAACAGTCAAGTTCCCATCAAGAACCACCTTGGTAATGTTTGAAATTGATACTATTGTACAGATAGTTCACCTTCAATTTTGAGTTGGTCCAGCAAATTAAAAATATTCTACAAAATAATGGGGTTCTCACGATAAATATAGATGTTTTTTGCAGAACGACCGTTTCCAGAATAATATTATGTTCATTAGTTATGATCAAGTCGACCAATTGTAGGTGACAGATTCCGAAGATGGATGCAGTCGAATTTGCAGGAATGGAGGAGTTTGTAAGGGCGACAACGAGTGCTCATGTCCCCGGGGTTTTGAAGGCCCTGACTGTGGTCAGGACATTGACGAATGCGCAACCTTGGCGCCTTGTGACCCCGACCACAGTATCTGCATTAATCGTTATGGGGGCTATGAATGCGTCTGCCGGCCCGGCTACATACTGCTCCTGGATGGACGTCACTGCATCCCTGAAGAGCGGGCAAGGCAGGCACCACACCTTATCTTCCGTGGCCGTGGAACCAAAGGGGTTATGATGGGTAGAAAAATAAGAAACCTTCTCTAGGGCATCTCACAAAAGAGCTGATTTCATGTTAAGACCTTGGTTCCATTTAAGGTTCTCTTGACTTTCACAATTTTCTACATCTTAGGGTTGCTGAAATCCCTTAATCTCACCACAGAGGTGACGTGTAGTGAATCACCACACATATTCACTGTATGTTACTTCATCAATATTTAAAAGCATCCTTATGTAAAATCAGAGTTGCATGCTCCGTTACACAATACATAATTGTTCACATGTAAATGATAAATAATTTCTATCACGATATACTCTCTTGTATAACTCCGATTTGATGGTTTTACTTTGCTCATGTTAAACAAACGCAAAAATAAACGTCATTTCTGCTTCTAATATATTTGTAACGCAGGTTTACGTAGATTTGTGTTACTTTTACTAAAACGTCTTCTAATAGATGCATATGGCTATAGGGCGTTTATTCATACGTGTATCGATGCTTAATGAACTCACTATTTGTTTTGCGAGTCTGTTTCGCTGTATCTTGGCAACTTTAACTTTGCTCTATTTTAATATTTTAAATTGTTAGCTGTACCCAAAATGTATTTTTGTGTACGTCGGACACCTGAGTGTTCTTCAGTCAAATATAAACTGGGATTCAAAAAATCATGGAACTTTAATCATGCCAAGTTATTTAGGAGTACTCTAATATTCCGTGGTAACTTGTGTACTGAAACATGAGTAAACATAAATTTCCGAAAACGAAAACTTAATACAATCCCAAAAAATGTTAGCTCTGTCCATTATCATTGTTATAATTATCGAATTTAGATTTCAAATCAGGTATACACTAAGTTAAGGGGATCGTAATGATCGGTCTCACTACACACCGACATCTACTAATTCCAGAATAGTAATTACAAAGTGAAACTGTTAAAGATGATCCGAGTTGAAAGGAATTTTAATGAGATCCTTTAGTATTAAGTAAGACTTCCTTACGGTGGATCTTTGGGCAATAGAGGACGTAAAACCCTGCTTGTAAAAGCACCAAGGCTTCGCTCAGACTGCAATTGGGAAAGGGTCAAGATACAACCAAAACCAATCAGCAATAATCAAGAAAATTTGCGCATGCCTGATGTTGTTTTGGCCATCTAAAGCATTGATAAAAGCATTGCCTTAGGCGAAATAAACCCCACAACTTCACATGCCTTGCTGCATTTAGCTTGTTCCCCTTGTCTCTTCATTAATTCCTTAAATAGGCAGAAACCACAACATACTATCTGCTCTCATATATACACTTTTCCATCCTCGTAGGACAGGTAAAATACGCAACCTTGCGCTGTTTGTCACGGCTATCGACATGGCCTGAAGTGGCACTATTTTTACATGCATTATTACGAGTGCTCACCTTTACAATTGCACAGCTAGGCAAGTTTTTTGGACGTTCATGGGTGCTTTCTCATTATATTTTATGACTAGTTATTAGGCAGCAAACTCTACCGTGTCCAATATTGCGAGATGAGATAAAGCCTTCCGGGCTCAGAGCAATTACTGCAGCAAACAACTCAGTCGAGCTGCTTAGCTTGAAGCAGATGGTCTATACTCAAAAACACGTAGGATAATCTCTGCGAAAAGTAAAAGGAAGACAAAGCAATAGAAGGTTTGGGGAAATCGATTATGCAAAATCGAAAACCGGGATTTTATCGTCAGTACAATGCCTACGAGAATTTGTGCAACTGTCGTACAATTCGCCAAGTTTAAACAAAGGCCTTAGCCATTGATAAGACGACTACGGAATGGTGCCACAGATCAAAATCACTTTAGGGTGATGATAAGACCCTATTTTTTACAGTAGAATACCCGAGTCCTAAGATGAAGAAAGCGTACAGCAGAATAGGCTTTATTGACCAATCCTCATTCATGTCTTTCTCTGGTTGGCTGCCTACCGCATGCGATTAAACCGCAGAGAGACAGAGGATTGGCTGAGGAAAGCGTGGTCCAATATGTCTGCGCTCCTATACGTTAACACTGTAGAATACCCGAGCCCTAAAAGGAATAG